AGCGCAAATAAGCGACTGTAGTGCATGAAATGCTTTGTATAGTTAAATGTGTTTTAAAATTCTAGGATGATTTATATAATCAGAAGTTCATTATTAGAACTGATGTTCAATCCGTAAAATATATGTTTAATAAGGATTTTAAGCATGATATTTCGAAATTAATGTTTGCCAGATGGCAAGCACAACTAGCTCCTTTTGATTTTGAAATTTAGTATAAAAGGGGGACTGATAACTCACTCCCTGATTTCTTATCCAGAGAATTCCTGAATTCTTAAATGTCTACTTATCAGTATTTCCTTAGTGACAAAACTCTTATTACAATTTTAAAGGTTCTTCCATTAAATAACGATCTAAAAGAAGAAATCTGAGATAAAATCATTGATGATCTTCTCATGAATTACTTTCTGCAAGGATCACAATTTGCTGATCTTTCCCTAGCTGATGATAGTTGGCAATTGGATATTGAAGGATATTTGTATGATTACTAATCTATTTGTTATATCTTTGCAGAATGGCAGGAGGAGATGAGCCTCCGCCATGGTCGCATATTCGTGGCCGTGGAGGAAAAACTAGAGGAAGAGGAAGATCATCCTCTTCACAGACCAGAAGATCGTCATACGATTCTTCCTTTCCTGTTATACAGTTAGGAAGAAAAACTTTAATCAATTCAAAGATTGGCGAAGCTTCTTCATCAGTTTCATCCTCTGTGAATATAAAAGATATCCCAAAAGATAGTTCAGTATATGAACATATTCAAGCATATCTGCATAAAAAAGAGCAAGGTAATACCTATGCCTCTTTAGCCAGAGAAGTCGATATAGCCAGAGTTTCAGAAGAAGCACCTAAAAAAGAAATTATATTTCTTCTAGAAAACTCTGACATCCAAAGAGCTAATGAACCTTGGAAGATACTCCAAAGGTACTTAACAAAGGGATTATATTTCCCTGGAGAATCATACAAGACTCGGTCATACTATGAGTCCATCCTAAGTCATACAGAAAATGCAGAATTTCAGCATTTTACCTCAGAATATAATGAGAATGTTTATAACTTCTCAAAGATCACTATTAAACAGATCATATCTATGGAAGATTGGGGAATATCCACAATGCAGGAAAAGATTGTTCTTGTTAACAAAGTAAATATGAATTTTACTTATTGGGATTATATCCAAGCGTTTCATAAGATTTTTTATTATAATAATGAAAAACTCAAGCACACTTGGTTTTTGAAAATCTGTGCAAAGGTTTTTACCCAGAGTTCGCCTAATTGGTTTATAAACTTGTGGGCTCTTCATGGGCCAACAAAGAAGATTTTACCATATAATTTCTTAACTTTATATAAACAATGGGTGAAGATTCCCCCCTTCTTAATGAAATTATATTTACAGGATCATGTTCCAAACATAGAATTGATTGATCAGATGTATTTTTTCATTGAATTTTCTACACCATGGATCCACAAATGGGTTCCAGAAGTGGGTTATATCCCTGATGAGAATATTCCGTGCTTATATCGCAAGTATTTCCATAACTTCTGGGAAAAACTAAATAGAGGTGATCCCACAACTGGCAAGATATATGGTCAAGAACTTATTGATCAAATCACTACAACTAAATAGAGTCC